CTGTCAATTATCTAAAGTAACCTACTTAACATGATTTTGTATTTTATCATTCTCCCCCCTCTCATACCCCTGTCTAAGGACTCCTCGGCAAAGAAGGAAGGTGATGACGCCCCTGCTGATGCTCTCAACAGCGGGTCCTCCGTCGTTAAATTTGCCGATGAATCGAAGGCTGAGGATGGTGGTAATAAGTCGGACGCAAATGAGATATCCGCCAATAACCAGCGTCTAAATGAGTTCACTTTTTCGCCGTCAGCCCTTCAGAAAGTTGCCCAAGGTGACCAGGATCCGGTCGCAAACAATCATTCAGGAAAATCGTACGTTGTCAATCCGTGGTGGCTTCTTTTCAGTCCTCGGTGATCACTTTTTTGTCTGGTGGGAAGATCTGGCGCTTGCGGTGTGTTTGAGCGAAGGTTCTACCCGTCCGATTTATCCTTTTAAGTTAGCCTTTTTTTGCCAACTTCCACCAAGTCCTAAGGACGGGTTTGCTTAATTTCTGTGCTTCACGTTTCCTGTCAAATAATAGCCAAACCAACCTTTTATCATATATCAGGTGGTGGGAAAAAAGGTGGCCCGCGTAGTTTTCGAAAGAAAAAAAAAGCAGAGATCCATAGAGAGGCCCTTTGAGGGTTCGCATAGATAATAGTCATTTACTTGCAAATGCTGTAGTAGGTCGAATTCCGGCATATTGCGACATTTATTTCATTCTGTTAACCATTGGGAGTTGTCTAATACTCTTTTTGGGCACCCTTTACTGAACCAACAGGAGTTTAATTTGGTTGATTTTAGCTCACTAAAACAATTCCAATCCTACAGTTCACTTTCCACGTATTAAACACGCATTATCTACTCCTTAATCAATCCTTAAACCTTTAAACCCTATTACCGTAGTAAACTGGGGCAGGGGGATTTTATAAGTTGGTGGTCCCACGACGAATCCCTACCGAAAAAATGCTATAGAGTGCCTTTCGATTTAAAAAAAGTTTCTAAATTGCCGAATAATTTTTAAACCTGCTGACTGCTACACTTGAATTCAAGGTTGACAAAATGCGCGCCGTTCACATCCTGTTTACGGAAAAGTACATTTTCGCTTACGGTTTGAGGAAGAAGGCATATAGTTTGCATGAAATATTGCAAAAAATGTGGAACATTATGGGCAGCATTCAAAAAATTGACGGATGTGATGTATAATGAATGAACACCTCACAACCTTAAAAAAGCTCATAATTAGAAACCTTTTAAGAACCGAAATATTCCCTTTCTTTAAGTATAAAGTTTAAAGAAGGCATAACTTGCTACCGAACGAGTACAGGAAATAATTTGTTCGTGCATGTTTTCCATAAAAATATATTTGAATTGATAAAGGCAATCAAAATCAATGGTAAACATGCATACTACTTAAGTAGCCAATTTCTACATTACCTACGTTTTGAAAAGTCGTATTGGCAAACAATTTTTCCGGTCGTTCTTCATCAGGCCGACACATGACATTGGAAATAAACATTGTCACTTAGTTGCAGTGTTTACATAATCGTCAGGTTGGGGAGGGGGAGGAGGGGAGGAAGGGTGTGAGGGTAATTAAGCAGCTAGGTTTTCCCTCGTCTCCTGAATGAATGATGATGAATGACCGAAAATAATTGTTTGCCAATACGACTTTTCAATCAT